GGGGGGTGGTGAGAGACTTGTCTTATGAAGCATTCGCTGTTGCTGTGCGAAGTAAAAACGGCTATTGTGTTTGTGTGAGATTGGTAAAGGCTGTCTGTGTTCGTGTCAGTTATATCAACAGATCAATGTACTCTTTGAGGGCCTATGTATAATAATAATGATGTAGTCCCCAAAGGAGACAGGAAAAAACTAAGAACTTCTTGTCCCCTGCTCTTTTGGAGTGTACATGTACTGTGCTGAGGAATGTTTCTCGAAGCAGTGAAATCAGGCGCTCGTTAATTTTGGGACACATAGCGTTATTTGTAGGATCCGAAAGCTTATTTTGTTTGTTTTTTTCTGTTTTTTCGGGGGGGGGTGGGGGTTTGTTTTTGGTGGAAAAATACCGACCTATTTTGAATAGAAGTTGCGATATTTGCTATTGAATGAGGAGGAGGAGGTCACCTGGTGTCGGAGGTAAAATTAGTGAGAAAATGGCCGCCAAACTTTGGCGAATTCTGAATCTTGAAATTTGGGAAACGACAAGTTTATTTTGCCTGTGGCTCTGATCAACGTTTCTCGGTTTTTAAAAAAAATGAATTTTAACCCACTGAAATGTTCTACACGGACAGAAAAGGTGTTGAGCCAAAGAATTCGATTTCCTTATTTTGACGAGCGCCTGATTTCTGCAATATGCCTCACAAATTATCTTTCCCTTCCAGCGTGAAGCCTCTGCAGTGACGACAGTAGCCTGTCTCAGATCTCTGGCTCGACTGCTCGAAGGTCCCATTCCGATTAAGGGATTGGAACCCGAAACCGACCCTCACACAGGCGAAACGACCTTCCCGGACACTGAAGAATATGGCCAGTATCTGGATGACGAGTCCTGGTTAGTGTCATCCCGGTCAATCATAGACATACGTGGGGGCGGGGGCGGGGGAGACGGAAATACGAAAGGGGAGAGGGAGATGGAAACACGAAAGGGGAGGGGGTAGTGTTCATGTTTGTTTGTTTTGTTTGTTGCTGTTGGGGGTTTTGGAAGGGGGGATGTTCATTGTTAGTTGTTTTTTATGTTGAAATGTGAACATGATAAAGACAGAAAAGGTTTTATTTTGTGGGTTTTTAACATAAAAGCTGGACAAAAGTATTGGAATCAATAATATATGCATTAATTGATAGTATGCACAAGTTTGTGAAAGCGAATCCCTTGAATAAAAAATTATTCACATCACTCATTACGTTTGAGATAACAATATATTGTAAATATCATTGTGTGGAAATTCCCTTTGGGCAATGGTGAACCCAAAAGATAGGTAATATTGGAGCTTAGAGCTGGCAGCGCTAAAAGTTAGAGACCATAAGGTGATTCGCCTTAGGCTTCTGCGTATAATGACATCTGTAAATCTAACGAAAACGTTGCGGGTTTTGTCTTCATTCTTTTGGAATAATCTTTATTCGTACTTTCTGTATTCAAGATATTTATGTCATTCCCTGCAAAAGATAAAATCCTACGCAGAAACACTTAGATCTACATTTGTCCCATAATATGGTAGTTTGGATGACGTTTTGTTTTCGTTTTTTATGTATGAATCGAAAAAAAGAGAAGATTATAATCCTGTAGTGTACCGTGTTTGACATTAAGCATCTTGTAGTCTGAGCGATAGTCCTGCAATCTTACTTTTCTTAAAAACACACAAGTGAGCTTTTCCCATTATTACGATGTACAAGAATTATTAAATACCCGTGTTTGTGGCCTAATTATTATGCACTTGTCCTAGTACGCAAATGGTGTAGGTTCAGTTCTCAAATAAAGGAGATACTTCATCAAATCTTTGCCTTTCTATTGTTAAGGAAATGTCCTCAATACCCCTGGTCACTGTCCGGCGGAATTTAATAAACCAACCTTAAAAAGAGATAAAAATTGTGACAATGGGAGCGTTATAGAGAACTACAATCTTAAACCGTTTGTTTGTACTGTCAACTAGGTACGAATGGCAGTCGCGCCACCAGCAGGGCCCGGACACTGAGTTGTTCCCCCTGAAGGATGCGCCGTACACTGTCAGGGTCAGAGGTTACAAGCGAGCAGCGGGCTCTCTGGACGAGCCAGGGCCCGTGGTGGTAGACAGTGATGATGAGCTGGACCCTCAGGACAAGGAGAGGTAGTTATGTCTTGTCATCTCACATACTTTTTTTTTTTTGGGGGGGGGGGTCATTTGCTGTGGTGTAAGGTTTGGAGTAGGGCTTTTATTCTGCATTCCACATTCTCGTACTCTTATTATTCGTTGCTATAGTTCCGCTATTCCTTCTCAATCTCGTGTTTTAAATATTCCCTCTGTCTGTCTGTCTGTCTGTCTGTCTGTCTGTCTCTCTCTCTCTCTCTCTCTCTCTCTCTCTCTCTCGCTCTCCCCCTTTCTCTTTCTCTCTCTCAGCCTCCCATCTCTCTCTCTCTCCCACACCCTGTCTCACTTTCTCTCTTTCTCTTTGCCTCTTTCCTTTTTCTTTCGTTCTCTTTCATTATATGTTAATATGCGTGTATTGTGTGTATGTGCATATGCGTGTGTGTTTGTGTGTGTGTGATTGTGTGTAAGTGATTGTGTGTGTCTATGTGTGTGTGTGAGAGGGATAGAGCGAGAAAGAGAGAGAGAAAGAGAGAGAGAGAGAGAGAGAGAGAGAGAGAGAAAGAGAGTATGTGTACACCACTTTAATTCTCTCACACTGTTATTTAACTCTTCTAGACAAAACAACTAAGGTCTGGTTTCAAAAGCAAACTCTGTTTGTGAAAATTCATACATGCCTGTTGCTTTTAATCACGCGAACTCTGATCAGAAAGGAGAGAAACATAGCCATTCCATTTTATACAGTAAACCATAAAAATGACAGTTATCGATGTATGAGATGTGGAAGGAAGAATGTACCGCTAGATCTTGGAACAATTAATTCAATTTACCAGTTATATAACTAACCAATCAGATAATAAACGTATCAATAGATCAGTTTTTAAAAGTTTACAAACTTCAATTTCCTTTTGCAGGATGAGGACGATGAAGGAGAGGAGAAAGATGTCAGAGATTGACAGAGAAGAAATCCCCCCTTCTCTGGAGAAAGAGTTGGAATGGATGGAAGAGGCCAAAAAGAGAAGAAAGTCGAGAGATCCTGATGAGTTCAGTCTTGCATCCAAGCGTTCTTCAGTGGCTTCCATTTCGACAGAAGGTAGGCGGTCTTTGTGAGACACAGTTGCTAGTGTTGGATTAACATAGGCATATACGCCCATAGCACAACATATTCCCTAAATGATGCTTTTTGTTTGACATAGTAACAGCACGGTATGGTACGGTATAGTGTGCCATAGTAAGAAGTGGAATGGTGTTGGGGAGTAATAATAAAATAACATAGCATTTACATTTCCAACAGTAAAAACAACGTATGAAATGACTAAAACGGCATGCCCTGCACATTTCCATGTTTGTTCTGGTTGCGAGCATTGGTGTCTGTGGTGTAGCTAAAAGGCCTTCTTTGTCAGACGCAGAAGACCCGAGATCGATTCCCTAGTGCAGAAAATTGTCATCGAGTGTCTTGGTCTTTCCTCTGCGATGTGGCATTTCTTTCGGCCCAGATTGGCCCTGACAGACAGGGTGAAAGCGCACCTCCTCGAGGGCCGCCAAGCAAACTATGGTAAGTCATGTTTTTCAAATTTTACAGGAGAGACAAAAATCTGATTTTCTTGAAGCGTTTTTGGTGGATAAACTTCATTTTCATAAGGGAGCCTAATATATGTCATGTCATTTGTAGGCTCCCTAATGAAAATGAAGTCAATGCACTCAAAAAAACGCTTCAAGAAAACTAGGAGTTTTTTTTGTCTCTGCTGTACATTTTGAAAGCATAACGTGCCACGGTTTACTTGGCGGTCCTTAATTATCTAAATTTTGTCCACAGCGGCGTAAAAACATCTACATTAAAAATGAATGATACAAGCTAAACTCTTCATCGTTTCCTTGCTAGGTATGCCTGGGCCAGTGTTCAAAGAGAAGCTTCACGACATGGCGTTCGGTGTGGGTGACACAGTTATCCTCCGCGCCGTGGTGGTGGTGCCCCCAACACCAACTGTGGTCTGGTACAAGAACGAGGAGCTTCTCAATGAAGGAAACAGACTTAAGGTCAGTTGGTCGTTACCGATTTTTCGTTTTCTCATATTTTCAATGTGTCGTTTTGTTGTTTTTCTTATAGTTAAGTCGCTGACACTGCTTCAGAACATAATGAAGCTGATAGTAAACTGCTATAGATATATCAAACGTCATAATATAATTCACTCGAGAAACATACTCTGGAAGCAAATGCAGAAAATAAGAGAGGGAGGTGGAGACCTAGCAGGAGATGGGCACATGAGATTCAAACGTGGCTTGAATATAAATAACTCAACAGGCAGAATGGTAAGATAAAATGTGTTTTAATACAGAATGGCCCTAAAATCAACATTCAGCTACTGAAAACGTTTAGAAAAACAAGTCATTTCGGTTGATTGAAGGATGTCGCAACCAGATTCTACTGTTTGGGGCGTGAAAACACCTACAGTTTTAAAATTTTTATAGCAACTTACATTTTAAAGGACAAGACTCTGTCCACACAATATTCTTAATATCACTCAGCAACTTGGCTTTGACTGAGTGTCCAGCCTTTTCATAAAATTATTGTTGTCTTTACAGATCAGCCTTGAGGAGGATGGAGAAGCCACTCTGACCATTCGTAACGCCAAACCTTACGATGCTGGAGTCTATAAATGTGTGGGCAGAAACAAGTTTGGCAGAGTCTCAAACCGCATGAGGCTACAGCTTGGAGGTGAGCCTAAATCAATGTTTGGTTATCTTTTTTTTTAAAATGAAGTCGTTAAATGTTTTAATGAGCTTCACCGATCACTGTAGGGACATGAGTAAACATGGCTTACTAGCGATCGTACATAACATAAATGTACATAATTAAGTAGGTTATCTTTTCACTTCAATGGTCTGTTCTTTGAGAGAAGCTGTGTT